CTGAAGATTAAAGTAAAGGTGAGCAGAAAAATGATAAACGGTTAAACTGAAGGTCAATAATGTGATTAAAAGCTCTCTAAAGACAAATATTTTCCAACGGCTATTGATTCGACACGCTAACGATCTAGAAAGCCTTGAGAATCGCTCGGTCACCACCGAACAAATGCTCTAATGGCCTGCAGAAATCGTGAAAATCCACCGATCTAACTTTACCGCAGTTTTGAGGCGATTGATTCGCGATGAAATGAGGGGACTATTAATGGATATATGTATTGGTATTAAAACAAACCTCGTTCTAAGTCTTTGTTCTGTTTATATGCCTTATTTCTAACACCAGAGATGTTTCGCATTATATACGAAGGAATCGGTCGATACAACGTCCATCCGTGCTCATCTGAGGTTTTGTTGACAATGCGTGAGATGGCCTCACGTAGCAATTCTTTGTTGAGATTCAGCATTTTGATACGGTTCAGTTCATCACGATTCTCTCGAACGACAATCGTCTGTCGACAGTTGTAAATGTGATTTGAGATGTATTTGCGTAAAGCGTTCTTGATACGAGCATCTTCATTCGCATCATTCTGTAGACATGACGGTACTACCAGTGACCAGTTCAAACGACAGGTCACCTCTTTTAATGGGTCAATTTCCAGGCGATTCAGTGACCACATTCGATAACTGTATCGCAACAGTCCACGTCCTTGATCTGCGTAAATCAATCCCAGCACCTCTGGAATCGATTCTGAAACTTGCATATGATTACATCATATTCTATGACATCAAAGTATGCTCAACAATAACGTAATGACAATGACAAGTGCACATAACAAACTGACCATTCTGTAAGAATGCTTCCGAATAGACGTGCGTATACTTTTGCGCCATTGCATCCACTGAATTCTGTTTCTGAGTTGTTTCGTTCTGCTGCCATTTGTTCCACTCTGTTTCCTCACCTAACAAACAGCCAACGATAAAACAAAATTCATTATCAAAAAATTAGTCACTCGTAACATTGCACATATAAGCTACGGTTCATTTTGTTCTTGAGCATTTTCCATTCACAGCAAATGAAACGATCTTACATGTGACTCAAAATGAAGTACAATTGCAAATGAATTCAGTGACTGAGTAGATTTTGAAGTTGATTTAGCAATCATTTTTGAAGTATTAAGATGATCATAACAGAACAAACTGTAAAATTCAGTAGCGTTCAAGAAGCGATCAATGCTGTAAGCACCAGTATGAATTGGTATTGGCGATAAGCCTGGGGGACTATCGAGACTTGTATTTGCGCACTCTTGATCAGTTGTACCAAGTGATCGCCTGAATTGTTGAGCATATTAATATCACTGTATAATGTTCGATACGTATGATGATACTTGTAATACTAATAATAACTAATAATAATTGTAGTAATAATAATAGCAACAATAATAACAGCAGTATTGGGAACAGATAAAAAAAAGAACCGATGATTGAACGGTATATGTTTCGAAGTATCGACATCCGTCATCGCACTGACATCGAGGCCAGTAATAGACTTATCAATATTCGAATGAGACAATGATCTGATAAAATTCATATCATCGTAATTATCAGCGTACGATTCGGTTTTGATCGGTCTCTGCATAAACGTTGACGTTGTCGGCGATGAAATCGATCGTCTTTCTGAGGTTTCCGCTTGATGAGCCGCATCATTATTCACCTTATTCATTTCCCTGCAATACGTACAATTGTTATCAGCTAACCATCGTATACAACTCGAAAATTTGCTGAACTCAGTCAGTAACGATGAGATACATCTTAGGCAATATGCTCGGTTCTTTCGGACCGATTTCCGTTAAACATGAAGCGAAACAAAAAGCGACTGTGGTCGACTCTGCTCGATGGCTCCTAATCCAAATCAAGAGCGACTCCTCACCCGGTGTCCACCAACCCAAACCGAAATCGACTCATCGCTGGATGGTGGCCACCGAACGATGCGTAATATCTGCTTTATCAATGGCTATCGACAAGTTAAGTGCTCAGCCGGTGCCTACTGTAAAAATCTATCGACATTACACTCTGCTGATGGCATCCCAGCGGCGAAATTTCACGTCATTCAGATTCCAACCGAACTGACATTTTGAATTTCCGATAATCGGAATTCCGGCCGACCTTCGAAACTGTTCGGTTGGAATGCGAATGTCGTCGGAATT